TGTTCTGTTTGGAGCTATGTTAAATTGCATCAATTAATTCAGTTCAATTCAAGTCTGTTCGATTCAATTCAATTCCTATTTAAAATAAAGCTTTTACAACACTTAACATCAGGCAACTGTACCTAATATTTGCACAATTTAGTTTTCTGCGAGAGTCGGTTAGAGTGAAGTAACTGAAAATGCTAATTTTTTTCTTTGTATTATTTGTTTTCCTTCTGGCTCAGCCACTCTTGTTTTCATAGACAAATAAAAGCTAGTTAAGTCCCTTTATTGTTTCTCCAGTGGGAAGAAAAAGTCTTGATGAATCTTCATCTGGCTCTATCATAAAACATGTTTAAATGAACATTATGATTAAGTTTACTGTATAATGAAATATTAAGAAACAAAAAAGCAACAGTACTAACAAAAAGACCAGTAAGGATCGTTGCCCACAGGCAGAGTAGGCTGGACTGGTCCATCAGGTTCCGACTTGCTAACACAGCAGCAGATCTGCAGTTAGATAATATTGAACAGGCCTGGGTTTGGGTGCATTATAACAGTCAGGGGGGGGGAACTCCTGTACGTACACTGTGCAGCAATTAAGTGTTTAAACAAGAACAGGTTACCCTCAAAAGGGACCTCAATACATTTTTGATTTGACATCACAAGCATGATTAAACATTCAGGACAAATGTAATGGTGCAATGTAGTTGCAGATTGATATAAGCCAGGAATGTCCAAAGTTACAGATGAACAAGGAATAATTTGTGTTGTTTGCTGACTGATCTTATGCACACTGAGGGGTGTCACTCACATATAGGGGGTTTTGTCTGAATGACTCATCGTCCAGTTGGTTTTTGCTCATGTCCAGTGAGTCCAGGCTCGGCAGACCAGAGAAAGCTTGTGGAGCGATAACTCTGATGTTGTTCTCTTTTGAGATAAATCACATGGTAGGACATATAATTCAGTAAATGAATAATTAAAGTGTAAAAAGAGACTTGACTCTAGAATTCATCAATGAAGCTATATTCATGAACATACAAATAGATAAATAGCATACACTGCTGTTGACACCAAATTGGCAATTAGAGCCTACGATTTCACAATGTATACGTTGTTATGTTATCAGTATCCCAGCTGAATTACATTGAGAGCTGTTTGTTTCTGATCTGAACAAATCTTCTGGGCACATACATGCTCATTTGGTGTGATGACTTCACTTAACAAACAACACACACACATGCATGCAGACACACACACCTGCAACGTCCAGCTTAGTGGCCTCCAGGTTGTGCAGGATTGGCAGGTGAGTGACGCCGATGTTCCTGCAGCTGATCTCTCTGTTTGCAGTCTGGCATTCTCCGAGAGGAGACTCTGTGTAGTTGTAGTGTGTTTCTGTTTGATTTCCCGGAGCCTCAGTTGCTTCTACTTCTTCTTCTTCCTCTTCTTCTTCCTCTTCTTCCTCTTCTTCTTCCTCCTCCTCTTCCTCCTCTCAGAAAGAAAGTTAAAAAAAAAAGGAATTCAATTAACTCAATAAGGGGATTCAATAAACTAGGGGAAAGGAACAGCTTATTCATACAAATTATTTAACCTCTTCCTCCTCTTCATCATCATCATCATCATCATCATCCTCATCCTCATCTTCATCATCATCATCATCATCATCATCATCATCATCTTCTTCTTCTTCTTCCTCCTCTTTTGCTTTCCCTTCATCCATCAGTCGCCGTTTTTCATCATGAAGAGCCTTCAGTACAGTTATGAGAGTGCTGGTCTCACGCTCTGCTTTTCCTGGTTTCCTCCAGCCATTCAAGGGCTTCCCCAACCCTGCCTTCAAGAAGCAAGAGAACACTTGATCACGAACACAGTTTTGAATTAGAGTACAACACGAGTGAAAACATGATAAAAATCGAATGGCATACTATTCTATATGCCACGGACTCCACTTTTTCCGCATGTTTCCTCTTCCCCCAAGCACCTCTTCTTCTTCTACCAGCCTCCACCTTCCTCAGATCAACTCCTTGGCTGTCTCTCGCCTCCTCTGCCTCCATGAGGACCTGCTCATACCCAGCCTCTTCATCACAAACCACAAAAAAAGACAATGAAAACAATTACAGACATTAAAGCTTCATTTCCACCAAAAGTACCAGAAATCTTAAAGTCCAAGGATCTTCATTTCAAGACACAAAAAGGTTCCTTCAGCCCAGTGTTATCTGCTTGTACACCAAAATACAAAGGGGAAGCTTAGCCGAAGTAATAGCCATATCCTTCTTGCATGTTTCATTTTTTTTTTAATCTAAAAATGGTCAAAGCTGTATTTTACTCTATTTTAACACTTTGAACAATTAAGCTTTTCATATTTTATTCCACACAGTCTCGTTGCTTTGTATTAAACAATGTAGCTGCTAAGACGCCAATTTTAAAAGTCCATGTACTAATGGAAGAACGACCCCCACAGCAGGGAACTTTTGTGGGGAAAAATAAAGTTCCCAGGACTCTATCAATTTCCTCGTCATTGTGGTGGAAATGCATCAAGTACCTCAAAAGTCTCTTGTTCCAGAGGAAAGGTCTTTCAGTGGAAACACAGATAAAAATAAATAAATAAAGTGACCTATTCGCCTGGCTTTAAATAAGCTGCTAAATAACTCAGGGAAATAACAGGGAAAGTGAGCATTTGGAAGACAAAAAAATGATTTCTTACCAGCAGGGAGGGTTGCACTTGAAACAAAAGGATCCGATAAGGCTGCTTCAGTTTGATGAACGCTTGCTTTTTCAATCTGACGTGTCTCAGAGTTGACAAAGTTTACATCCATGTGATGCCAAAAATTCAAACTTTGTCCTGAAAAAAAGTTGCCACAAAGTAAAATCAAAAAGGTCCATGTCCTTGGCATCTGCATTGTTGGATTTTAACCGTATTTAAGCTGTTTGGTTGGACAGAGAAATTGAAAGTTATGAGGTCTTCAGGGTAGACACAAAGAATAAAGCAAATCCACCGAGAGTGCGTCAGAGGAAAGAAAATGTGAGTAGCAATCAACGTGAGAGTTTACACGTGAGGATCTCCAGAAAACCAGAAGATCTTAAATTATGAGCACTTATGCTAAATGCTGGGTTGAAGAGTCTCTAATCCCAACCAGACAAAAGAAATACTAAACTATATTGCACATGCCCTCATCTCAAAGTGAAGAGTAAGAGGTGGGCAGGGATATCTAGTAGAAGGTGGAGGTGGAGAGGTAAAACAACCCACAAACTCTCACATTGTTAATAAAGGCCCTCGCTCATCTTACCATGAAATATACAGACCTGCCCTGCTCCTCCTTGTCTCCTCACTCTGTCATAACTGTCTGCAAACATGAGGTGGAAAGTGGAGACATACACAAATAGCAATGGTAGAGACTGAAACAAAACATGTTTCATATACCTGTGACAAATTCTAGTTGGACAACATCCAACATTATATTGTGGGTTGATCGGCTGTCAAGTTTGTTTTTCTCCTGTTTTAAAAAGAGATTTTCCAAGAGGAGACAGGGTTGGTAGACAGTCCAGGTCGGAGTCAACAGTGTTTGGCCAAGCTCCACTAGCATCTATGTATGAAATCAAACATGACCTAAGAGGAATGAACAATGAGCCCGTCTTTACATTGTGTACATATATATTCTGTCCGAGCACACATAGACTCCAATGCTTAAACATGTACTCTGGAGTGTGTGTGGGCAACACATTCACCGCCAAGCCAAGCAGGTGCCACCGAGCCAAAGTGGGATTTTCACAGCTGGGTGAAACCTGCTGACAGACCCTCAAACACGCACGCACGCACGCACGCACGCACGCACGCACGCACGCACACACACAATGAAAATGCAGATTTGTGATAATCAAGATTACTTATATATACATTTCTTATGAAATGAATAAAGTGAATAAAATGGAATAATTAGATGTTTATTTCTGCGCCTGGAGCTCACCTGATAACACAGAGACAACCGCAAAATCCAAACATATCCCAAATGGTATTTTGGAGAATTTTAACATTCAATACTGAAACACTCAGTTCTTGATGTGCTATTCCAAGTTAAACAGTGATGTGTCCAGAGACTATTCATTTTAATGTTGACAGGAACATGCAGTAATCCACTGACCACATTCAACCCCTTCCTAAACCTCAGTCAGACAACACCCTGAATTAACAATTTCCACAGCTCAGAAGAGTGCACAAGCCTACGAGTCACCCAACGTATAAAAACACAGCATTCTCCTTCAGGTCCATCTTAGCACAACTGCTCCAACTCAGAATAGAAGATATCCCAGACAGTGTGGCCACTTACAGCTCTACAACATGTTTGACATGTATCTGTAAAAGCCACATGCAGCAAACATTTTAAACTCAGCAATTTAAAGTCTCCAGCCATGTCAGCAGCTGTCAAGGTTTACCTATGAACAGTGGTGCTTTTAGCTAGTTCCCAACATGTTTTGGGCGTTTAGCATGATCACCATCTTCAGTGGGTAAGCAAGCCAACAGCTGCTACTTACACATTAAGTAAGCTAAGCTAAGACTTTTCTTAAACAAAACCGAAAAAAAAGATTTGACATCATGATAACTGGAGATATTTCACTGTAGTTTTTAAGAGAGCTATTCCCATTAGTGGCACAAATGTGACATTGTGACTTTTTATTCTGGAAATGTTATACTGCGTAAGAGTAAACTACAACCCCCTTGTGATGGCTCAAAGTCAGGGGGAGGGCAGAATGGATGCACCATTTCAAGGCTAGATATTGGTGTCATTTTGATTGTAAAAGCTGGGAATTATTATTTTTTTTTTTAAATGGGTCCATATTCTTTTAATTAATTTATCCATGAAATAATAATAATTTCCATGTTTATTTTACCATGTCTTTCACAAGGGGCTTACGAGGTGGTCTATACCAGCAGCATTACAAAAGCATGCCAGTATACTGACCAGGGTGGAGAACACTCAACATAGAGCCAGGTTACAAAGCTCGTCAGGTAAAACAAACAAAGACAATTGAATTTGGTTACTTTTTTTATTTAGCACAACACAGCTATGACAGGATGACACTGGTGACCTGGAACATCAGTAACAAAGTGTGATGCTGTGTGGCCTGGAATCACCAGAGGAATGTTCAAACCGTTTATAACTAAAGTGATTTACACACAGAGGTTAAAGAAAATGTTTTCTAACACAGCTAAGTGCTAAAAGCTGTGAGTTTAAACTAAAAATGAGGATTTAGAACATGATATTAATGCCAAACAGTAACAGTTTTAAGGAAAAGTGAATTAGGAACACTGAGCTGAGGGAGAAAAACATTGGGCATGGTGGAAAGGAATGTGACGGGTAATGCTGGAATGATGAACTAAGTCATAGCCTGACAGTTCACAATAGACCAGAACCTAGATGAGCTGCTGGCACAGATTTTAATCCAACTTTATTATCATATGTTGGAATTTTGGTTGGGCAATTTGCAGGACAACATTTTGTACCAGAGAAGGAATGTTACAGACTCAGAAGAAACCACAGGGAGAAGAAGGTGTGCAAGAGGGAGAAATAGTAAAACAACAGGCTTCAACAACACTGCACTTCTATTGATATCTCTTTGCAATAAGAATACAGCGGAAGAACACTGCACTTGAGTGATGCCATAAAGATGGCACTTCAGAAAAGTTAACAGATCTACAGGTCTTCATGTGATCATGTCAGGTAGCTGCACGGTGGACCGAAAGGTGGTTGTAATGCAACAGAGCAGGAAGCGGAGGATCCCGTGTGCAGTCCTTAGTTCGCAAAGGTCTGACGCACAGCATCAGCAATGTGCTTAGCGCTGATACCGAATATGTCGAGAAGCTCTTGGGGCTTCCCGCTGCGGGGAACGCCGCTCACTGCCATCCGGGTTACAACAATGCTGGGCTCACTCCCCACTGCGGACAGCACTGCTTCACCAAGACCACCTGTGAGGAGGGGGGCAGACCATTAGAGAGGACGAAAATTCTCAATGTGCAAGTCTTATTTGTAGAGTAGTAGATTAAACTACAGACTGGTTGGTTAGGTCTTATTAGACCCTTATACATTAATAACACATTGACACAACAAAAAGCTACCTCTTTGAACATCGTCAGTTAATCCCTACAGAAACTCAAGCTGATCAACAGAAAACAACCCACCCTCCTTGTAGTGGTCCTCCACAGTGATGATCTTTCCCCCTGTAGCTCTGGCACTCTCCAGAATAGTAGCGGCGTCAAGGGGCTTGATGGTGAAGGGGTCAATCACACGAATGTTCTTCCCTACAGAAATTTGATTGAACATGGAATGAATCCCCCAGATTACATAACAGGAGTCGAGTATGGCTATGACTTTTAGGCCTCAATGCTTTTTTCTATCCACTAGAGGGCAATGTGAGTTTACCTTCACTGGCCAGCATGTCAGCAGCAGCCAGGGCCTCATGCAGAGTGATACCAGCACCAACAACAGTCACCTGATCGCTGTCGGACTGGCGAACCACCTGTAAGAACACACTTTTGTTCATAGATGACAATTTTTCTGGTGTCCATTTCCAACAGCAATTTATACCCAAAGATGAGCACGTGGGAAATCATGCGATTGATCATTACCTTGGCAACGCCCACTTCAAACTTCTCATCTGGAGAATAGATGACTGCAGTCTCCGGTCTACTGGTACGGATGAAACAGATGCCCTGAGAACATAGTGAAAATGTTTAAAACACGAGGACATTGTGAGCCCCTTTTCGGGAAACATAACAGTGGAAAAAAAAAAAAATCCTAGAACAAGCCGTTTATCAACCTTGGTGTTAGCTGACAGCTCCACAGCTCTCTCAGTGGATACTGCATCACTGGGGTAAAACACAGTGCATGTTGGGATAGCGCGGAACATGGCCAAGTCCTCTAGGGCCATCTGTGAAGGGCCGTCCTCACCTGAAAAGGGCACAAGATCAGTTAGGGACAGGGCATAGTCTGCTTATATGAAAACTGGTGTCGTTTCAGCAAAAAGCTTACCGATGGACACTCCGCAGTGGGACCCCACCAGGTTGACATTCGTCTGGGAGATGGCTCCCATACGGATCTGGTCATATGCTCGAGCCAAGAAGGCAGAAAAGGTGCTGGCAAACGCAACAGTGCGATCTCTGGTGGCACAGCCGATGGCCACTCCTACCTGTAGCATGAAGCAAAGACATCAGTGTCAGGGGATAATGTTAGCAGCAGAAGGGCACGTAAACTGGACCAAAGCAGCAGTGTGAGGATGGGATTATCATGCTTTGAGAATTAATAGTAACAGATTAGACCAAGTTGGAGCAGATTATGGTAGTAAGAAGTGTGAACTGAGACAAGTTTATCCCTCTTTCATAAGTTGGTCGTTTACCATGTTCTGTTCAGCAATGAAGCACTCAATGTAGCGCTCGGGGAAGGCCTTCCTGAAGGTGTCTGAGAAGGTGGAGTTCTTTGTGTCCCCGTCAAGGGCCACCACTCTCTGACTGGACTTGCCTAGCCTGGCCAGGGCCGTACCGTATGCACGCCTTGTAGCCATCTGACAGTGAGAGAGGGAGACAGATTTTAAATTAGGCAACAAAAAATAAAAAATAAAAAATAAACAATAAAAATATGAATAAAATCTGCATACAGAATATGTTATTTCAAATGCTATGACATTATTGGACAGGGCATCAGCTCACTAAAACACAGACTTTAATTCTTAATCACAGGCCACATGCTTCAAGTGTTCTACAGGTACCTTCTCTCCCTTTTTGTATGCTGGAGGTGAAGGCAGCAGGATGGGGCTGAGATCTGCTGGTGCTGTCGTCTTTGGGCAGTTCGGGGCACAGGGTCTTGTTGGGGACTTGGATCTGAGCCTGCAGGTCATTCAGGATGTCGTCCACCTTGTCCTTTGGGATGGGCTTTCCATGCCAGTTATCAAGATCCTCGATATCTACAGCCAGGGATGAGAAAAAGTCTCAAATATCAAACTCTCTCTCTCAAAAAAAAAAAAAAAAAAAAAAAAAAAAGGGAACAACATCTACATCATCAAGAAAAACCATACGTACTTTTAAGTCCTTTGCCCTTGAATGTCTTTGCTACAATGCAGGTGGGTTTGTCCTTGACCTGCTGAGCCTGCCAGAAAGCTTTGCACAGCTCCTCCACATCATGTCCATCTACAACATATGTGTTCCACCTGCACAGAAATAGCTCAAAATTTTAACAGCAAAACACACTGACAAATATTAACCCAAAACACAGGGATGTATTAACTGCTGAACAAACACGTTAAACATCAAAATTCATTAACCAGTGATGGAAAGTAGTACTAGAAAAAAAAAAAAAAAAAAAAAAAATCATCAAGAGGCCCAAAGTGGCGAGATTAAATCCAGGAGAATACAGGCATACCAATTAGTTTGAAATTAATTTTGCTTGAATTAAAGTTTAAAAAATGGCAATCATTAGTGAAGTAAACAAACTGATCTGAACAATTGCCCGGTTTCAAAGTTATGAACCAGTTCAATGAGGTTTTGCTTCCCATCACTGTGTTTAGGCTCTCTGATGTCACAGGATTTTGAGTTTGACTTTTTACCTCTTACTAGAGCAATGTGAGCAAGGGAGCTGGCTAGTTAGCATATTAGCCAGCTAGCCAAAATTTGCTTAGAAGGACAAAACAACACCACCAAAAGTCACAGCAGCAATTTATAGTTCTCCAACTCAGAAAATAAGTCATTTGAAAGCTATGGAAGAAAAGAAACTTCCGAAGGTTTGCCCGTCTTCACACTTGCTAAAATGATTAAATATGACAGTTTTTTTTATTTTATTATTAAATAAGTTGCAGCAGCTATTTTCGTTGTATGACTTTAGTCAACGACCCAATGGTGTTGTTGGGAGTGACGGCTTTTCCTGAAAAGAACTCTCTGATGCAGAGCGAGTGTCAATCACACCTGATGCCTGAATGTCCGAGCAATTCTTGTGACAATCAGATAATTATTAGTGAGAAAATTATTTCTTGAAGGGTTTCCATCATTTCATTCCTTATGGTAAAATTGGCTCTCATTTACCTCTTGGGGTAATTAAATAAAAAGCTCTAGTGTAAGTTCAGTCAGGAAGACTATAACTGCCTTCACGATCGGGTCTTTCTCATTCATCTTTTTTTGCACGCTTACTCTCGTTTCCGCGTCATTCTTGAGCTGTCATTTTCTAGGGGCTGTCATTGGTTAATCAGCTGGCTCGTCAGCGGTACTCATCTAACCAATGGCATGGTGTTACGCCCTCATTTTCAGCCTATCATCGTTCTGCTCCCCGTTTAAATATGATTCTTTCTCTCCCTTAAGTTCCTTCATGCTGATGTTTCGTGCGCCCCTCCTCCTCCCCAACAACGCCATCTCGCAGAATCATCATCCATCATTTCTCATCAAGTCATCAGCTTCACCACCACCAGTGTCTGGACTCCATGGGGGGGGTGATCTATTCTGCCGTTGTTCAGAATTGTCATTCTACACATCGCCCACCCCATAGAGTCCAAGCGCCAAAAATATTTCTGTCAAGAAATATTTCCATATTTCATTGTAATAAATAATTTTCTTTATTCAATTGTCTCTCCTGATTGAAATATTGTTGTCTAAATGTCTCCAAGAAAAGAAAAGAAAAAAAGGGGGGGGTAAGTGCAATACTGACCCGAAGGCTTCACAGCGCTTGCGGTAGGTCTCCATGTCGTGCTTCAGGGGTGCCGCCTCACTCTGACCGAGCCTGTTGACATCCATGATCGCCACCAAGTTGTCCAGCTTGTAGTAGGAGGCGAAGGCCATGGCCTCCCACACTGAGCCCTCTGAACACTCTCCATCACCCATCATGCAGTACACACGGTAACTACAACAGGATGTAAGAAAGGGGGGGGGGTTTAGTGTCTCTAATAATTATTCACACAGATACATAAATAATCACTTTTACTAGAAGTAAAAAAGCTGAGGTGACCGACTTCTACTCATGAGAAAGGAAAGAACACAAGACAGCAGAATTAATGAGTCCATTCCAAAATTAACCACTGGTGTTGAATGAAGCCCTACAAGTCAACTTAACTGATACCAGTCATTAGCACTGTTGATACAAGCAAAGTGTCCATATGATGTCACAGTCTGATTTATTGAGTGAATCCTTTCCACTGTGTTTAAAAGAAAAAAAAAAAAGATGCAAACTACTTCAGGTTCCCATGTGACTTATAAATGTCCTCATGATTATTGGCAGTGAATAGTTAGCACTTCAATTCATCAGGACAAGAGTGTACTGATGAACAGCTTTAACTGACAGCATTAAAGGGCCATTCATTTTACACCAGTATTTTCTACCTAGAGTGTTACTGCTGTCTATCAGCAGTGCAGATAACTTTTGGCCACATTACAGGTTCCTGTCATGGAGTGATTTAACCCAATTACAACTACACTAGTACAGGTTCATCCATTAAACTGATTACAGAGCATGAGTCACAGCTTTAACATCGAGCAGTTCCTCGTCTGCTGGAGAAGGCATTGCACTCTGTTGTTGACTCAGCATTGTTTCAACAAGCTTTGTTTACACAGTATGTATGACATCCCACCTTTACAAAATACAAACAAACAGTATTTGGAGAACAGACAACCCCTGCCCTTAAGTAATCTTACTACACCGCAGAAGATTTTCTTGCCGACCAACACTTGTGACAACTCCACATGGGTGTTCCAAATGCAGGATTAATGCAAGCTTGAAGATCAATAAAACTGCATTTCTCCTGTATACTCACTCACCTGGATTTGTCAAAGTGTTTGCCAGTGTAGGCCATCCCACAGGCAGCCCCGAGTCCCTGTCCCAGAGATCCTGTAGCCACGTCAACAAATTCCAGTTTCTGGTGATGAAAGAGAAAAGAAGCCATTTACCAGTTAAACATTTTGACTTTGACACTTTCTGTTTTCAAAGTTAGAATAAACAGAAAGGAGGCATTACTTACAGGAGTGGGGTGGCCCTCTAGGTCACTGTCAATCTTGCGCAGGTTGAGCAGATCAGACTCCTTCACAAAACCTGCCTCAGCCCAGGCAGCATACAGGACAGGTGCAGCATGACCCTACAGGCAAGAGGGAAAAGGATAGTGGTTTAAAGATATACTTGATCCGAATCTGTAACCGATCTAAACTTTAAAGATCCGAGTTAATCGGTCCACAGAGGCCTGGATCGGTAAAATACTACTACGAACCAGTCAACGACCCGGTTTCAAAGTTATAAAACAGTTCAAATAGGTTTTTCCTATCCTGCACACCGCGTTTAGGGTCTTTAACATTGCAAGACTTTGACTTTTTATTAGAGTAATGTGAGCTTAGGGGGCTTGCCAGTTAGCATAAATGTTGATCAATTTAAAAACTCAATTAAACAAGAACTGTCAAATACAATACAGTTGTGTCTCGCACATGAATATGACATTCATGACAGTCACAGAAATGACTAAAATGAGGAAGATTGTTCCATCATTTTATAATAGTGAAACAAAGTACTTCTTCCTCCAAGAGGCAAAACATAAATCTAATTTAAGTGCTCCGAGTTTTACAAAGCCTACAAATAGGTATGTAGCCTACGGAAGAACTCAGATTTCTGCTTTGGTAACAAAATGTATTTCTCGTCTCAACTACCTGTCACAGTGAGACAGTATGGTTGTGTGTTCAAGACTTCCCATAATATACATAACAGAATATTCAATGTACAGTAGGCCTTTTCTCTTGTCTCTTAGCAAAGTAATAAACAGAAGGAGAAGCCATCTTGTAATGACACTGGCTGTAATAATTTTCTCATTCCCATAAAGTAAAAGAAATCATTTGGATTCAATTATCAAATTTGTATTAGATTGGAATCGCACCGAAATGTTCTGTATTTTAATAAATCGGAACGTAGCTCTAGAGAACAATATCGAATCAAATCGTCTTGTAAAGGGGAAATTCACCCCCTAAAAAGTAAGTACTTTAAGACAAGCAATCACCAAAAGTCAGGTGTTAAGGTGAAATAAAAACATTTACATAATAGAGGGGATTATACTGACCTTTGAGAGAACGAAACGGTCGTTACACTGGTTGCGAGGGTCCTTCGCTTTGTAGCGCATGGTGTTGAAGAAGAGCACAGACATGAGCTCTGCTGCACTGCAGCATGATGTGGGGTGACTGAGGAGAGGGAAAAAGATACTTTGTTTATGACAATTCAATGCCTTTAAAAACAACAACAACATCCTCACACCATGCATGTGTTGCTACATTCAGGAATCACTGCACTTTGGTTTAGTTGAACAACAATAAAGACTTCTGTGACACAATCAGTCAGTACAGCAGAGCCGTTCACAATTAAACATTGGCCAAGCAATGAGTCCATTAAGAAAATCACTTTCATTAGGAACATCACTCATTTCATATAGTTTGTTAATCTGCAAAAGACTCAAATCAGTTATGTTACCACACTTAAGACTTAACTGTTAGTTGATGCATTGTGGTCCAAATATTGTGATAGACTTGTTTAGAAATCCCCCACATTACTCAACAGCATCGCAGCTTCTCTAAGAGGGTTACATTTCAAATGGTATCATCTCAACCATGCTGGGTACACACACAGTTATCTTATACATACATCATGGTTTCACTTTAAAATGAAAATATACAGGGTGCTCTTGTTTACCCCTTGTCCGTTGTTGAGTGAGAACCTGATGAGAAATAAACTGAAGTAAATTCATGAAATCCCAAACAAATCAGATGCCCGGGTGAAACGTTCCATATCAGTCAAATAATGAGGAACAACATGTGATGAGTGTTGGGTGTCAAAACTAGAAGACACCTTTTGTTAAAAAAGGTGTCAACGGTATCAGATTAGAAAATGCCTGATAGTGAAGACACCCGGAAAAAAAATGCATCCACTTCCTTGTCCGATAACAAGGAACTGCCAAAAAAAAACAGGTTTACCAACAAACCACTTTTGTTTCAAAGTTACAGTTGCCTTTAGGTGAAAATTATGCAATGCCGGAGTAAATGTAAAATACATTTACTCAACAGTGGGATTGTACGTGGGACAATCTATGTGAGGAAGTGGCCTGGGGATTGACAGAACTTGTGATCCTTGACTGCATATTCTGGAACTATTTGCTTAGTTTTCCAATCATTTGTTCTGTCTGAGATTCTGCTTAAAAAAATAAATTGCAAAAATCGACTACCTACTGGCCATACATATATTTTTCTACTGAGAGTACATATTTTCTTATCTTTGCAATATTTACATGCAGACTGGGCAATATATATATATTTATCTTTTCCTTGAATTGTGGCAAGCTGCTTTGAATTCAAGTTGTTTGTAGCTGTTGATGCCTGTATGTTTGTGCACTTTAAGGGGAAGCATTTCCGATGTCATTTTTACAATTGTTTAATGACAATTAGGGTTTCTATTCAATTAAAAGATTAAACAAAACTTTGCAACAGTTTAACCATCTCATAAGTGTGACAAGCTACAAAGCAGGAAACACATTGTAGTCCAAACTGTCCTCCCTTAAAACAAAAAGAGGAGAGATATAGACTTAATGATTCATGTGGCAGCCAACAGAGTGCTAAATGACAGTCATCCACTATAAATTATTCAATCACAGGAATGTCTCATAGTTCATTAGTTACTTGTGGCTTTGCCCAATCATAAACCTGACTGAATACTCTGAAGGCAAAGGGCAGCCAGAATAATCTATATGCCATGCTGTTAAATGACACCCTTTCAACAAGGCAACTATTTATGTAGTCCTGGAACTGTTTCAACTAATAGTGGCATTTCCTATAAGGAAGCGAAAGAAGTAAGTCTGGTTGCAAAACCCGGCAGATGAAGCAACAACACAGGTGCCCTTTGACTGTCCATTTTGATACAGCATTTCTTTGGAGCGATTCAAATGGTGTGCATGTGAACATTTGTGCAGCATTTCAGGATGCAGAGCTCTGCAACTTTAGACCAGGTCGTCTGACTACGAGGCTCGTACTGTGATTTTTTAATAGATAGGGAAAGCAGGTCAACGCTATTTCATTGAGTTTCAATGTTTACTTAAGGAGAATCCATGAACTCTCGGCTCGCTTGCCTTAAATGTAAAGTCAATCAAACCATCGATATCATCAGACACAATTTGTTTTATAGCAGCATAACAAATATCAACACTTTTTTTTTTGGCGTAAGCTAGTCTTAGCTTAGTATTTAGACTCTGTGGCGTTTTAAATAAAATGTTTTTGTTTTTTTTTAACAGAATTAATAATTTCTTGCTAACTGTCTGCTGTGGGTACATTGTCCACCGCGTGAGGATAATCAGCAGCACGTGCATCCGGGCCCCTGCAGGTATAACGTGCGGTTGCTAGTTTACTGTAACGTTGCAAAATATGGCGTATTATCTTCGTGTGCAACTCTTTATTCAACATTAAAACATGGCATAACTTTATACAACTCACCCAGAATTGGAGGCACACGTTGCCTTGATAGAGTTGATCCTGAGCTTGTTAGCGACGTCTTTCAGTCCCTGCAGAGTCTTCTCGTCGGGCTTGTGGTAGCTAGTCATGGTCTTCTTGGTTGTTCTTGAACGCCGCGTCCGCTTGAAATGTTAAATTTGGTTAATTTAGTTACACAGTTACTACCCAGTGTGATAGTTAAAGGTTGTGCTACGCTGCAGCTAGCCACCTAGTGCAAGTACAACCGAGGAGAAGGAGGACGGGGAGAGAGGAGGGAGACTTATGTCTGCTGTGACAGCCACTCCCACCTAATCCAATCATTGGGTGAACACTTTGGGTTCAACTTGTGCAGAAGTAGCAGCTTTCACAAGTTATTTTCAGACAGGGAAAAATGCCGATATGATTTCATTTAGTGCTTATCATTTCCGCTTTATATTAGAATAGACGTAGCCCAGTGTGTCGACATAAACATTTAGTTATATTGTTGCTAAATTGTCAGCTTATGACCATATAATGTAAATAGGTTATGAAAGAATATCCCACATATAAGGTTGTAGATTTGATCAAATCGCAGTCTTTTTAGTTCGTTGGAAGGAATTCCTAGTTGTGGCAACATTTGTTGATAATATAGCCTATATATAGAGATTATGCGATATATTATCAATTTTAGATTAGTTATCAATGTAGATTTACTGTTACGAGACATTAAGTGCATACTTCTAAAAAGGAGCACGGTAGAATAAAGTGTACCTCTATTTATTTATGGGTTTTCCGTTCACTGTCGCTTTAAAACTTCAGCTGGACTGCTGCCAACACGGAAATGGAGGCAGATTTTGCCCTCTCATCCTTACTCAGCGTGAACCACAGGACTGTTTGGCCTGCAACAAAGGGTTCAAGTAATCCCTCATGACTAATTCACAAGTCATTCTGAAACATTTCTTTGTTGCTCAAGTGGAATATATGCATCTGAAAATGTCAACGGATACAAAATTAGATCACAAATGTGTTAGAAGGACACAAGACACTAGTGTAATGATTGATTTATGGTTGGGGCAAAGCACCACAAAAAAAATGCTCTTTCACAATTATGATTGTTTTCAGACAACACAATCACACCAAGCCTGACTTTTCAAGGAAGTCAAGCACTTCCTCATTTTGGTCTTCATTGCAAATCTTATGGCGCAGGTATTTCCTCTTCTTTTAGTTCCTGAAAGGACATGCATGCCATTAGAACAATCAGCAAACAAGCAGATTATTGCATTCCCATGACATACAGAGAAATGAGATGCTCCTTAGGGTCACCTTTATTCTCATCAAGGCCTCCGTCATCTCGTCAGGGGAAACAGGATCTTTGTCAAGTCGTTTCAGCTGTGGCAGGATAATCAGTACGCTCAGACGGTAGTCGGTGGCTTCCATCAGAGGATTCTCAGAAAGGACCAAAGCTTTAAGAGTTTTTGACACACGCCCAAGAGACTCAATGGCTTTCTTGTCTAACAATACATTTCCTCTGAGGGAGAGAGACACAAGTATGAGACATGTCATTTAGCATATTTGGTGTCAAGTGATTTGATGTTGGGGACTTATGGAACTTCTAATGTCCTATATGATGCAGCTGTATACCGGACATTGAGGTATTGGAGACACTTCATGTTGGAGCTTAGACCTTCCAGAGTATCAAGCTGGTTGTCTCGCAGGTGAAGGGTAGCGAGGCGCTCTAATCCCTCCAAACCTTCCAGATGTTTTATAGAATTTTCAGCCTGGATAGTTGCAACAAAAGTAGTTACAGGCACATTTGTTTCTGACTTATAATAAACCAATCTCTTTAATCAGCAGTTCAACTGAGCAAATCAAATAACTTTTATTACCAGATATAAATGCTGCAGGTTGGGGAGGTTGATGCCATCTGTGGTATCCAGCTGATTTCCCCTCAGCTCTAGAGTTACCAGGTTAGCAAAACAGCTATCTTGAAGTTCATTCAGTCTCTGAATACCATTACCTGCCAGAGAGGTTAAACATTTTGTATTAAAATCTGCTGATGAGAGAGTTTGTCATCCCGAAGACTGAGTGACAAAACAAATAATATTAACTCACTCATCATGCTATAAAAAAAAACACTGCTAAGTTTTGTTACCACTTCTCCTGTTTCAAATATTAAAGACATGACAAAATATTTCTAATTTGACTGACATCACTATAGGAAACTCAAAATTAGCACAACATGATCGAACAAAAAAAACAACAACTACAGACTAACCTGCCAGATTGAGTTTCTCCAGAGCAGGGCCAACGAGGCCCTCCATATCTGTAAGCCTGTTCCCTGCCATACTCAGCCACTGCAGGTAGGTCAAGTGTTCAAAAGGATGCCCGTTGAAGGACGCCACAGCATTATTGTCAACCTACAGAGGTAGAGTTGCATTTAAGATTAACCATCAGAGTGAGTGATACTGATGGCCTCAGAGGTGTCCTTTTTCGAAGTGAATTAAGAAAAAAAAAACGATCCTTGCCTTCAGCCAGAGGAGCTGGGTCAAAGATGCCAGAGGAGAAAGATCAGTGAGCTGGTTGTTGGATAGATCCAGAAAACGTATGTAAATAAAACTGCTGATTGCAGTTATATCATTGAGTCCACTAAGGAGTACAGGGATGAGAGAGGAAATTAAAATAACATCCAAGCGATAGCCATACTTCCAGGAATATTCACATTGAAATTTCAAGGGCAAATTTAATTTTACGAGTATTTTTTTTTTTTTTTTTTTGCAACCTCACCAGTCTTTTAGGTCCATTTTGACAAAAGCATGTCCAAGTCCATTGCCTGTGCGACACAGTAATGAGAGACCTTGACTGATGGTTTCTAGGGTCAAATGGCAAACCTGTACCTGCGAGAGAGAAGACATTAAAATGATTTTAATTTAGAAATTTGGTGCTGATTGATAAATGATTTAAAAAAAAAATGTAGGCCTGCATGATGTTTGTGAAACAGGTTACAATTTAAAAGTAAAGGTTACTCTAGTAAGTTACTCTTAAGTGTTATAAAGTTCAAACCTGGAGAAAACCGGCTTTAGGAATGCAGCCTTCATGGTTTATGTAGGCTAAATACCTTACTAGCCCCAACATGGTTACTTTACACAATTCTGTGTGTATTTCCCCCTTCTAGTCTTAATTATCTGTTGACTATGAGGCCTTAGTCAAAACGCGTTGAGTGAAGGAGTCAGCCTCAGTCATGACCAAACAAACCACAGGCTGTAAATATTCAACACAACCAGACTGCCTACACGATGACCTTTCTCGACATCTTAGTTGCATGCTGTTAAGTCAGATGTTACAGGCCTACCTTCTCATCCTCCCCGACTTCATCTTGTCGAGTTTCTTCATCTCCTTCTACGTCGGACAGGAAATCTTCCTCCATGTCAGACATGCTGGTCACTGTCAGGTTAGTTAGCGCGACCTACTGCGATGCATTAAAGCTAATAATGACTCACTGGCTTGATGTACTGTTGAACCGTTGGACAGCAGCTTTGCAACTTTACAATAATAGTCCAGATATTGACTTTAAGATAAAAAAAAGTTATCTGATTATGAAGCTAACTGGTTTGTCTATAGTCCCCCCCGCCAGCAAACAAGCAACCGCGTTTGTTGTTGCCATGGGAACTAGTCAGCCGGAACCTACAGTCTAGTTTCCCTGACATGAGCACACAAAAACCATAGACTGTAAATATTACAGTTAATAAAAACAAATAAATAAAACAAATAAAAACACATTTCAGAGACAATCGAATGTGCTAGTGCGAAACAGCTATACGATTGCTGCATAAAGTTGCATTAGAAAGTTCATAAGAAGAGTTACGTTATATCCCTTTTTTTTTTTTTTTTAAACCACAGGTTTGCAAACACACAGCTTTGGAAATGTCGAGTTTAAATGTTGAAATGACTTGCTTAAGCATAGTGGCTTGCCCAAAGAAGACATAAATCAATTATAATGATGAAATTGTGTTATTCAGAATTAATTCACATAAGCTTGACGAAACACAGTCACATTATTGAAAAAATCATAGAAATAAAAAATAACTTTTTTTCCAGAGATAACTATGTATTACAATGTGAATTCAAACCTGCAATGAGACTTTTTATTTTTTAACTACACACTAGTGTTAGTGTGACCCTGTCCAGTTCATGAGGCCACAGTCTTCTTTTCTAAAATGTTTACACAGTTCATGCCCAGATCAGTCATTCACTGAATGACGAGGCGCATATCTTTAAAACAAAATAAAAAAATCTATGGTGCATAGACAGTATTATTAGAAAAAGCTCATTCACTGCATTAAAGATCTGTACTAATCTTTCATTTCCCACAGCAAAAGTTTCCCAACCACATTAAGCTTGTTTATCACATACAAGCATCAAAACAAGTGAGAACTCATAACTGCATCATTCAGGAAGAAAGCAAAAAAAAAAGTGCAATCTGTGCAATATCCTGTAATCCACAGCTACAGGATCAGTTCATTTGAGTGTATTACCACTGTTGAGGTAATTGTGATGTCAAACCAAACTAAAAGGTTTATGTTTAGATATCTGTATGACCATAACAGTGAAGTTTTGCGAGCTAGGTATTGTCATTTTCCTCCTTTCTTCAGGACCAAGCTCACTCCACTTGCATATTGCGAAACAGAAGCCCCTTTTTCACGCCTCCTTGTAGCATCCTGGCACCAAGACTAGTGCCACTGATCCCATCACTAGAGAGACACCAGAGAGAAAAAGAATAAAACACAAGACTGAGCACAAACACAAATCAAGAACTACGAGTCTGTACATGGAGTCTCTGTTAGTTTATAAAACTTACATTGGGCTAAACTTCCTCCTCTTAGCATCAGGAGCCTCAGGTCCATCTACAAGTCTCTGCAACAAAAAAAAGGGACAGTGAAATTAATATTTTCTGTATTCATTCAGTTACAAAGATAGCTATTTCATGCGCTGTTGTGTAACTCCTTGACTCCGATCATGAGGCTTGACCAACCTCTTTGCCTGTGACTTCCTGATGTAATCTCCTTTGCTCCAAGTTTTGCTGAGGGCAGAAAGGTAAAGAGGTTGACTACAAGAGGAGTGCCATGAGACTAAAACATTTCATTTTACTCCCTTTAGACACAAAATATACTGAAGACAGGTTTAGTAAAAAAACAAGATATTTCTTACTTAACATGTACACAATATTTTCAACAGAGTGAAAATCTATTTGAAGTGTGTTAGCACCTTGTGTAGCTCAGATAGCTGCTGGTGCCTGATTAGGGCCTCCTTGCTTGGGAACTGCCTCCTACAAAGCAGACAGGCGAGCTTAACCCAATCTGTCATTCTCCCTTCCTTCTCGTCTTTGTCGCCTCCTTCTTCTTCACTGTCAGTTTCTCCACTGTAGGCTGGCACCAGGCCCTGCTGCTGAGGTGGGGATCGCTAAAGAAATAAGATATTAGATGAAATACTGAGATAAAAACAGACATGCATAATAATATTTTTCCTAAGAATAAGAGCTTTGTAAGATTCTCTGCAGAAAGAGACAGATATTTCACAAGTACATCACTGTGGCCTTTTCCTTACCTCTGTACTTTGTCGGATCTGGTCCAGAAAAATCTGAGGCCGTTCAGACAGTGCCCCCTGTAGGACAGAAAAGCAAAGTAGAGAAAATGTGTTATTACTCAGACAAGTTTAGGATGAGAGTTTGCAGACACCTAAGCCTGGTAAATGATAAACATTCCTCCTGGTCACTATGCTAACCTGCTACACAGATGTTAACAGATAAGCATTTCTGTAGGGGTTAAATACCTTTTTCTCCAGAACAGCATAACCTGCATCAGCGCTAGCAGATTCTCGCCGGTCATCCAAGCGACTGTGTCCAGGTGTCCTAGTGAAACCTGGTGGTGGCGCTGTGGAGCCAACGGCTGGGGAGGAAGAGACAGAGCGCATGTTCTCCTTCTGTCGATTCAGACTCTTAGCCCAGCGCTCCATGTCTTTGGCAATCTATTCATATAAACCAAGACATAACAGAAATGGAAATGACTTGAGGAAGACTACCAGCAACCACTGGACTTCAACATTTTCAAACAAATATTACCTTAGTAAAGGATTTTCTTTTTAGAGGTGCTAAATAACTATAGGAATTTTGCACCCAGTTTACCAACTTATATGTTTTTAAGTGTATGGTGTGCTATTTTGTCAAATTATAAAAGTTATGGAACCAAACATATAACACATTTACAGCAGTTGATGTTATTGAGTCTTCCTTTTTTCGGAGTTGATCAAATGTCCAAACAAATAAAGTGAAAAACAAGGGAATTATATTGTTCAAGGTCTATTTTAAAATCTATAGGTAAAAGTGATTTCCCATGCAAGCCTGTCACTTCTCAAAGTTATATCTAGTTAGTAGATCACCTGTTGAGCAGTTTTATTCCTGGGCTTGTCTTTTTTCTCCTTACTGCCAGGAGAGGCAAAAAGGGAGTCTGAAGGAGCTGCACCAGCCCCTTCACTATTCGACTGTCCGGCAGCAGCAGGGATGTAGGTGTGCTTATCTCCATCCCAATACATGTACTGCTGAGTGTGAGGGTTGTAGTAGTACTGCAAAGAGAAGGGGAACAACAATAAAACTCAAATGCTGTGGAAAAGCACACTTTTTTTTGCTCATGAAACATTATAAAAGCAGCAGATTTCTATCTCTTTACCTGGGAGGTAGGGTCATAGTAGAGACCTGTGAGTGGGTCGTAATAATAACCAGAGCTTTCATCATACTGGTATGTGGACACATCTGGCACAGCTGCAACCAAACACACAACACATTCCTCTCAGGTTAAGATTTTAAATTACAACACCTTTCATTGATCATAAAAGTGTTAATCAGCAGTATCACAGTTAATATGCATTCAGAGAAAAACTGTAGGGCAGGATTGACTCACATTAAAATATTTTAACACCATGATTACAATTATAACTTGTAAGGAACACTTTACTGATAAAGCTGGACTCAATCAACTGATTCACAGGGGCCAGTGACATTGTGGGGGTGGAGATGGACTCTCTGACAGTGGTGTCAGAGAGGAGGATGCTGCCTAAGTTGCGTGTCATTGGACAATGTCTCCCTCCCACTCCACGACATGCTGGCAAAACACAGCAGCACATTCAGTGCAAGACTCGTCTCCCCACGATGCAGCACCGAACGCCAACGAAGTTCATTCCTGCCTGTGGCCATCAAACTCCATAACTCCTTCATTTGAGAGTCAGACACTTAGTCTGAAACTTCCTGGACTTATTCAACCAAAACAACTGGAAACTTCTCTGTTGTTTTATGTTTATGCTTACTATAACTGTGCAATCTGTCTGTAAACTGATCAACATTTGTTCAGACAGGTGTGCAATACTGATTATAACAGTCTTTAATGAGCCTTGTAAACAGACCGTGCAATAACTACACTGTTCATCACTGCACATTTTGTATATTCATATTTGTAAATATTATTTGTAGAATCAATTTTGATTCTGATTCTTACGGTATTGCTGGAGCTCGTGTTCAGTCCCTGGGGTGGCAGGTTGGCTTGGAGCAGCTGGTTGTGGTTTTCCCACAATCTCAACCTACAGAAACATAAAGGGTTTGAAACAACAACAAAAAAAGACATTTAAAAATGAGTACAAGAGTTGAAGATCATACGCAAGCATTAATATGGTACCTGTGTGGCTTGTGTGGTGGTCCCTTTGGTGAGGAGAGCAGTCTGTGTTTTGATGAGAGGCAGCTGCACTGATCCTGATGTCCCTGCATCAGATGAAATGGCAGCAACACGTGTGAATAAATAAAATAAAATTGATAAAGTCAAGTCAATGTTACAGTTATAATTCTCTCTATACTAAAAATATTTTATACTGACCTGTGGCTGCTCCTCCTGTGTATGCCCCCATCAGGGCTGCTCCTGAACTGGACAAAGCATTGACTGTGTTGTCTGCCTGTGCTTTGAAACTTGTGCCATCTAGCCCAGAGTAATCATTCCCCTCCTGACTGTAGGTCACTGCTGCCCCCTGCTGATACACAGCTGTATCTATACTCTGGCCTCCACCTGATCCATTCTGAGCCGTCTGGAAATGCAAAACATTTTTAAAAGATGAGGCAAAAAAGACCCCACTGGTATTCAATAAAATTCAAACAATACAAAAATAAAGATGTGATTCACTCTCATGTCGCCCTACACTGATAAATCATTTAGAAAGGGTACCTGTGTGACCGCCCACTGTGCAGCAGCTATAGCTGTGCTGGCTACTGTAGCAGCACTCACTCTGCTTCCATCAGTCAGGAACACATCACTAGCATTGAAAAGACAGAAAGAGACTCTTTCAGTGGTTGTCTGGTGACCTTCTTTTCAACAACAGATAGCAAGAGAAATGAAAAAGTTATTTTTAACCTGCTAATTTGTATTTGAATCTATTCTCCTCCAAAAATGTTTCAGCTGATTTAGAGCCAGAATAATGTTCTCTTTTCAAAAGCAAAACTATATCTGTCTTTGTGTTTCCTTTGATTGGTGGGTAGCACTGTTTACCGTTTGGAGCCTTTGGCAAACTCAACCACAATCGTTTTCCCGTCAATAGAGAGAGCTGGCTGAAGAGCCTGCAAGATCTGGAGCAGTTGTGATGCCTCCTGTTGATACCACAAACAGAGAAGTTTGTATGGGTTGTTCATAGGCATGTTTGTGAAAGAGAAGGCTTCATTAGTAAACTAGAGTTCATCTGTCTAGTACTTATGCATGTGGATCTGCCTATTTAAGTGTCTTACCACTATG